AAGCAGTGCAATCGTTGGTCCACGACACCACGGCAAAAATGATAAAAACCCCTGTTATTCACACAAAGTCGAAGTTAAGTCAATAGATCGCTAAACAGCTCAACGTAGCATGCTCAAATTCCACATTCAGCGCACAGAAATAACACAAAATTGTCACAACAGTCCCTCGTACCAACCACTACAGAGCCAACAATTATTTTAAAAAATGCACCAAGAAATTCAGGGGGGCAGCAGTTCGAACAGCAGCAGCGTACACTCACACAAATAGTCTTTCATGCAAGGCCCGCTGGTCACCAGAACCCGATCCGTAGGGAGTCTCCACCGACCAAACGCACGAAGAGGGCCGAGCCCAAGCCAAGCGGAATGTTCATGCGAAGGCTGGAGTTGATGGCATGCATGGCGTGCGCATGGCGCGCGCGCGCCCTTACCACTTGTCCGCCAGGTTGGGCATGGGCTGCAGCCTGCCCAGGAGCGCTGGCGACCGATCCGACCACCAAGACCCCTAACAACACCAGCACCACCACACACCACGAGCACCGACGAGCGAAGACATTCAAAACACACAGGAATCGCCGGTAAGAAAAATGTACACCAAGTAAAGAGGGCGAGAATGTGAGAGTGATTAGCCCCCTTCGGAGCCGGTGTGGGTCCGGGGCTGCGGGCGTACCTTGAAGTAGAAAAGCAGGGCCTTGGCTGCTTTGGCCTTGGCGTTCTTGTCGAGGTAACGGGCCTCGACGGCCGCGCGGATCGTAGCGTCGCGCCACTGCAGCACCAGCTCGTCGCCGCACATCACCCACTGCAGGAAGGGGGCCAGGAGCTTGTTGAGCCGCGCCCAGAACAGGCAGGCGGGCGCCCAGGCCACTGCAACAGAGGTTCACGTCACACACGACTGCTCTGCTCGAACCCCCTGGCGGCGGCGACGTGACGGGGGGCTCACCGTGCGTGGAGGACGAGTGGAAGATGGGGTCGTGGGCGAGGAGGTCCAGCATCTCCGAGTCGCTGACGCCATACTTGGCGACGCATAGGAGCGCCACCCCGTACGCGACCTGCTCCTTGCCCAGGATGGCCTCGAGCTGGTCGAGCAGGTGGTGGAGTTGGTCGTCCACGTTGCCGCGCGGCGTCACCTCCTGCTCCCACTCCCAGGACGTCTGCCAGGCCAGTAGCTTGGCGTACAGCGGCAGCGTGCAGTCGCGCACCGACGCCAGCACCGAGTCCTGGACGCGCTTCGGCACGCTGTGGTTGTACTGCATCACCCACGCGTTGAGGATGCTGGCCGCCTCGGCCTGGTCCAGCTTCGGCATCTGCGGGCAGGAGACGGAGAGCGTCAGCGGTGGTCGGCGACTGCTGAAGGCTGGAGCTGTACCCACATACCGTCCTCCCGACTTACCTGGATGACGGTCGACTTCTCCTTGAGTTCGCCCAGGAGCGGGCTGCCCTCCCAGAGCGTGACGACGAGCTTCACGTTGACGGGCAGCTCGGCGGGCACCCAGTCAGTCACGAGCGCGCCGTACGACTTGAGCTGGTCCAAGCCGTCCACCATCACGACCAAGGTGCGCTTAGCAGCCGCGCCCGCCAGCAGGTCTGGCAGCTGCTGCTTCCAGCTGTCCACGGACTGGAGCACAAACAGAGTGTCGGTCGGGCGGTCTCGCAAAGGGACACGCACGCGGCAGGCTGATACTCACATGGCTCGCCCAGCAGTGGCCGCCGTCGCACAGCAGCTGGCACTGGTGGCCGATGCTGGCGAGCACGCGCTCCAGGGTCATGGAGTCGGCGGAGACCCCGCAGAAGCGAAGCGCGAGCAGGGGCGGCCCGGAGCCGGAGCCCGCCGCGGCCGCCGAGCCCGCCCAGGACGCGCAGCACTGCGCCGCCCGCGCCACCAGGGTGGACTTTCCGCAGCCCCGGGGCCCCGTCACGACCAGAGGGGCGCGGGAGCCGCCCTCGACGTAGCTGCCGCGAGAGAGATGACGGGC